AAATAAACTATCTAGTTAATTTTGTTTAACTTTTTAACTAGTCAATGGCCATCTTTGGCTACACGCCGCACACTAATATGTAAATCGTTGTAACTTCTATTTTCTATGTGATTAGGATGAAGATATTATTACAATAATATTTTTTTTATTTGAATTAAGCCTCGGCAACTATAGCCATTGGCAACAATGACTTCAATTCTAAATTATTTACATGTTATATAAGTTACATACATAGATATATAATATTAATAAATAATATTTAATATTATATATCTATGGTTACATATTAAATACTATTGATAAGGTTGGACTTACACAATAATATTATAGGTACAACTTATTTGTAATTTTTGACTTGAAAAATCCAATTTTACATGATTGTATATTTGTATATGTATATAAATTTTTATTATAAATTTTAGTATACATTAAAATTAATGAATATTGGATAATATTATATATAGTGAATTATAAATAAATTATAATATGTAATGCAATTAATTTTGCTAATTTTGATCTTTAGCGGGAAATATAAATTTGGTGATCTTAAAGGCTATATTATATAGCTGATCTAGATAGCCAAGGGGATTTAGTTGACAGGGGAATTAATTGACTTGTGAGRATCTAGTTATCACAGGGGATCTAGATAACCATGGGGATCTAGTTGGACAGGGATCTAGGTGATACGTCACCCGTAGATTTATGGTGAACTCGAGAGTCGAGAGTAGACGTGGAGACTGACAGTCCCTACTCCCTCTGACTTGCCACTTGTCTCTTGCACTTCTTGCAGTCTTGCCTGTCATCCGAGTATTCCGAGTTATGGTAATATACTAATATGGTCTTGGTCCTTGTTTCCAGAATTTCAGTTCATTGAGTTCATTCTGTTTTTTTCCGCAATGTCAACAAACTAGTATAATATTAATACATTTTAATTTTAATTCAATTATTCAGCACTTCAGCGGCATTTGAAGTTGATAACAATTACGGATTAAGACACCATAAACTACGGTCTTAGCTTAGTCCGTTGGCATACTGACCTCAACAATAATTACTGAATCTGACCATCAAAGAACAATAAAACAAAGAATTGAAAGTGATTAATTAGTTCTAATCAAATTCTTTAATTAAGCAGGTGTTGGAGGATTGGTGAGCAGATTGTAGATACCTACATAATATTATGTTTTCCTACTGTATGTATGATTTACATTTTGAACATATTCAGTTTTTGGGGTGTATCTAATGTGCTAATATATTATACCTATTATGTGTCTTGCAGTGTGTTATGATTTTGATTTCAATAATTGTTGAAAGAAATTGTACGCGGTGGTACAATATCGTCTTGAGAGTAATTCAAATTGCCTATGCCACAGTTGAGTTCACCTCAAATAACAATTTTTACAATTGTACCCCTCATTATAATTTATCATTTTGTAAGTAATATTGTTGATTATACAAATATTATTTTATTATTTTACAATAATATTCTTTAGAAATTATTTAACTTTGTTTTCATACTGTGCACTAAAATAGGCGTTTTTTTAATAAAAAATGTGACATTTCTATCATAATATTATGAGTAATGACTGCTGGTGTTAAGTTGTGGATACCTGTTATTATTATTTTTTCTTTTCATCTAGTTAAATATTTTTAAAATTAAATCAGTATTATGTTAAGACTGTTAAGAGTTATTGTAGAAAATTAAATTTAAATATTTTTTAAAAACAATTTATTGGATTATTAAACAAATGGTATACAAAATGAATATTTGACGTGCTTACAAGTCTGAAGTGGATAAATTCAATAATTATAGTTTTTAATAAGTATAAAGTTATTTAAAAGAGWAAAAATTGCATATAACCATAGGTAACGACTTGTAACAAGCACATGGTTAATAATTAAATCCAGACATAATTGTATATTTTAATACTATTATTTTGTAGATATTAAATTATTTAATAGCCTCAAATCATATGCCTAAAATTATAAAGGATAGTTTCCAGTTTTTTATAATTTTTATGTGGTTAACTTGCTATGTTTCAATCATATGGTTATCAGAAGGGCTCGGGTTGTTTAGAGTTTGTTTATTACTATAGAAAACTATTGAAAATCTCTTAAATGGCAGTTGGAAAGTTATATAGAAAAATTAGTAATCTGGTTACATCTAATTATCTAAATCCATAATTGTGAATAATTTAAAGATCTTCGAGGATCAATTAATTTCATTAAAATTGTTCATTTTTTTTTTCTAACAATATAATATGTATAGTTATCTAAGTAAATACAAAATTATGGAGTTAAATAAGTAACAAACAATAATTAATRTATAAAAAAATATGTTGCTATTTTATATATTTTTATGGTGTACTACAGTGCATATTTCAAGATTTATGAAGTTACCAATATAATATAGTTATTTTTAGTGCTTATAAACTCCAAGACTAAGACTGGACCTTTGTTTTTAGAATATTTAGATTCACCCCTTTGTTGATAATTGTTAAGCAATTATTAATATTTATTTATGTATAGAATGTAGTTTACAATGTAATGGTTTTTTCGTATTAGTATACAATGTAATTAATTATATTACTATGTTGACTATATTTACACAAAGCTTAAATGTAAAATCTGGAAATGGAGAATAAAATACTTAATATGGCAGATTAAATATTAACATAGTAAAAAAAGTGCATATTTTAACAGATGTCTAATCAAATATCAAATTGTTTTACATTATTTATTATGTCAATAGAAATATGTCTGACACTGAATACAGCTCATCAACAGACAGTGACAATAACAATGTGTCCCCTTTTTTCAACCGTTATTTGGGTTATCCTCAAGGATTYGATTATGATCTTCATGTTGAAAGCCCTCCACTTTTAGAAACGGATAGTTCTTCAGATAGTGATATTATTCTTGATGATAATCAATTGTATTCTTCATCTAGTGATGTAAGTTTTTAAAGTTCATTAATAATTTATTTTATTTTAATTTTAATTTTTTAATTTTAGTCAGAAGATTTAAATCGTTCAGATGATGAATCATCTCTAAGTTCAAGGAGTTCATTTATATTAAAATTGATCAAACAAAAACAGATTAAAAAAATCAAAATTAATTCTTCAAAGTCCAAACATTGGTGTCTGCCCAAAGAATTATATAACAGGTTTATTACAAGTAAATGTCTTATTAAAAAAATAAAATAATTAAGATATTTTTAGAGAAATTGGCCAGTATAACCACCGTGCTCAGTGGGGTTATAATTTCTATCAATCAGTAGTAGCTGTACATAAACTCAAATTGAGTAAGCAGCTAAAAGGCCATCAAGGATGTGTAAATTCAATTGACTTTAATAAAACTGGAGACATGATAGCTAGTGGATCAGATGACTTTAAAATATGTTTATGGAATTGGTCTAATGGAAAGTGCTTACTCAATTACAATAGTGTACATACTCAAAATATTTTTCAAGTAAATTAAATTATTAGTTTATTATGTTTTATGACAAAAAATKCTGTTAATATATTGTCAATTATTATTTCTAAAGACTAAGTTTCTCACAACACAAGGAGATACCCAAATTGTATCAAGTGGACGGGATGGTTTAGTTGTGTTGTCTAATGTAGATAATTATGATGAAATATTTAGTAAAATAATAGCACGCCATGATTCCTCTTGTAACCAAGTTGGTGTACATCATGAAACACCATATGTAGTTCTCAGTTGTGGAGATGATGGAATCGTTAAAAATATTGATATTCGTGAATCTCCTATTACTGAAAATAAAAGAATTACCAAGTAAGAAATATACTTAAATTTGTTTAAATCATTAATAATTTAAAAAATACCTACATTTTTTTTAAATCTTAAAAAAATGTTAAAATACTTGAAATTCTAGCATTTTATGATCTTTATTTTTGCTTCCTTGTATGAAATATGTCATAGGAGGAATTATAAATTTATTGATTTTACAACGATGTAGTTTTATGTGTCTGTCATCACATTTTAGGGCAATAAAAATKATTCAATTTTTTTAYYTTACCTTCTTAATTTTGTTGTGATTTAAAAATATTTTTGTGTATATTTGAAACTTTTAAAGTATATATTTATTAAAAATTAAATATTTTATTTTATACGAGTACCCATGCAATCTTCAAATGCATCTTTAAAAAAAAAATTAATTCAACGCCTTATGCATGTATTACTTTATTTACTAATAATAAATTAATTTATAGCAATAATATCATAAAATATATTTAGTTTTATAGGACTTTTTGCTCAAAATTGTTTTTCATACTTATTCAATGATTTTTTATCATTGAATTCAAATTTAACACACCCATACAGTGACCCCCTGTACTCAGTACATTTGAGAGGTACTTATCTCTCTGCCTTTTTTTACTTGAATCTAAAAATTTAACAATATAATTTATTTTATTAGAAGAAACATGCGGTACCATAAGCCATTTTGTGTGKGGTGATATGGTAGGGGTTATTTTTATACATTGTGTTTGTAGGTTTATAAGTTGATAGATAGGGTTGTAACACTTGTAACATGTGTTTACATATGTGTGGCAAGGATATGTTGYTAAAAGTCCCGGATGGTCACTGATCCAGGAGATATCAACTGCGGCCTCCAGCTGGTACGTAAGCTCAGTGCGTTTYCACAGATTGAGTGTGAGGCCGCACTTCACCAAGCCACACACACAACAATACAATTATTAATCATTGATTAACAATAATTTATCAGTATTTAAAAAAAAATTAAACTCTGATAATGTTTTTCTAAATAATAAATAAAATATAATTTACATGTCTATTATTTTATTGTTTAGTATACTACATATCAAAAATRTTCGTGGTAGTTGTATGCATCTATATGGTATTGACATTAATCCTATGAAGCCATATGAGTTTATTGTAAATGGTGATGATGAATATATYAGAATGTACGACAAAAGACAACTAACCGTGGATCCAGTTAAACTATTCCATCGTGAGCTAAAAAATACTAAAACAGAAAAAGTAAACAGTTTATGCAATTATACTTAACACGTTTTAATTAAAATGTTTAGTATTTTTAATTTTTGAAATAACTTTTGACAGACTGATACTAATAATAGAACGGACAATAGTACTAATAATAGCAATGATAATATTGATGTTGGTGACGTTGATCATAGTGCTGTTGATGTCGTTGACAATAATAGTGATAGTTCTAGTTATATCCATGTTGATTCTGACTCTGATATGGAGGAGATTTCAAGTTCAGAACCATATTATAGACACATTACATCTGCTGTTTACAGTTATTGTGGAACTGAAATTTTAGCTTCTTATAGTGAAGATGACATTTATCTATTTGATGCTCTTGGTCGATCAAATTCAGTATTACACAATTATAGTGGCCATATAAATAAAATGACTGGTATTTAATTTTATTTATTTTAGTAAAAATTATATTWAGAGTGTATTGGCACRCTGTTTTTTCTTTCTGGCACTCGTATAACATGGAAAAAATGCATTCATGCAATAAAGTAAAATCACTCATTATAGAAATATATTTTTGAGGGTATGATATTTATCGATTTATCTAAATATTGTCTCAAAACAATTAAATATCTATATAAAYCTAAAAAAAAATAAAAATATTTTTATAATCAAATAATAATAGTAAAAACACAACTGATATGTAAAACCCTGAAAAACATCTTCTAYAATTTTTGTAATAAGTAATTTTACATCAATGAATTTATCAAGCATATCTATGTTGTACGTAGGGCTGAAAAAGAAAAAAATTATTGTACTGACATTCTCTTAATGGTTTCTTATAAAAAGTGATGATTTGTATTAGTCTAGTTTTATACTTATAACATTTGTCTCTTTTATTTAAAGCATATCTTTTTTATCATTTTAGTAGTATCTGTTTTTATATAAATGCTTCAATAATTATTGTACATACATTTCTAAATGTTAATTCTGGTTCTAGTCAAAGGAGTTAATTTCTATGGACCAAGAAGTGATTACGTAGTATCTGGATCAGACTGTGGATTTATGTTTATATGGGATAAAAAAACTGAAGCTATTGTCCAAAGAAAACGTGCTGATAAAAAAGGATGTGTAAGTTACATGTTCTTACCTTGAAAATTATATTATTTATCATAATTTTTGTTATTAGGTTAACGTATTAGAAGCACATCCACATATACCAACCCTGGCAACTAGTGGTTTAGATAAAACTATTAAAATATGGGAACCTTTAAATGTATCTCAAGGTCCGAATAAAAACATGGTCAGATTGGTAAATTTATGACTTATACTGGATGTAACAAAACATCTGACAAATGAAAATAACTTGTTAATTAATATTTTTAAATATTTTATATCATTTATTTTACTAACGCTTCTTTCCATGACTATAACATTTTTAATACTGAATATAAAAAAAAAATATATCTGATACATTTTTTTTTACATTTAAAACAGCCTGTTGGTAAATCTGGTTTTTAGAAAAATATTGATTGTAAAAACATAATTTACATAGTCACATAGTTTATTTTAAAAAAAAATTTGGGGGGACAAGGTGGCCGAGCGGTCTAACACGTTGGCTGTGGCTCAGCCAGACTGGGTTCGATCCTCGACCATTGGGCGACATTTTTCTCCAGGCAAGTCACAATGTCCGGAGAACAAGTGCCGCCATCCTCCACTCTGGGGCATGACAGAAACCTACGGGTGCCCCAATAGAAATTCTGCCAAATAGGCGTCAAAACTAGGCCTTCGTGCCTATACATAGCGTCACACGAAAAAAAAAAATAGTTTTTTTTACATTTTTTAAAATCTCATTATTTTTGTTAAGTATTTAGTTGTAATAACTATTTTAACTTTTTAAAATATTATTTAAGAAATTATATTTAAAAAGTAGGTACTATATGAATATAATAAGGCCTATTTATAATTTTTTTTTTTTATTTTCAGTATTAAAAAATAAAAAATGTGTTATATATGTAGCACACAAGTTAGTAAATTATATATATATATATATATAAACAAAAGTTATTTATTGTCAGATCTTCCTGTTGCACCCTGTATATAATGTTTTTAATAAATATACATACATTTTTTAATTAATTAAAAATCTTATATCTTAGTTTTAGTTTTAGTTTTCATAATCTAACACTAAGGTTCATTTATGTTTCATAAGCTTTTTGTGTTCTCTTCTTACAGGTATGGCATATAAGGTCAAAACCCATTTGACCAAATATCATAGAGCTTAAGAGCTAACACTATTTAGCCAAAATTTCATAATATAATTAACCATTATATATTTGATGTTTATTTTTTAAGAAAAATGTTATTAAAATTATTTTTTGGTTACATATATTATATAATAAATAGTATAGGYGATGATTATATTATTTAGGAGAGTTGAGTTTTAACACCAACCCTCTTAGCTATGGGACTGCATGTAAACCAAACAAAAAGATTTTGACAAAAATAAGTTTTTAATTTAAATTTAGAATTAGTTAATTA